CAGGTGGACTACTACGGAAAGTGTGGACACTGCGGCGGCTTGGCAGAGAAAGAGGCCATCAAAGATCCTGTAACGAGAGTATCCTGTAGAGTCTAGTGCAATAGTCATGACCTAGAATCTGGAATCGTTTTGAATATGTTTCACACGACCAAAAACCCATGCCTTCTTGCTTTCCGGCACAAACCAACTGCAGACATCACCCGACGAACCAGGGCGACTTTCCGTCGCCTGGCAACGCGTCCATGGAACGTGGCGACGGAAATCCGGTCTCCGAGGTCAAAGCGGGGGCTTACGATTGACCTGTGAGGAATGCTCACAGAGCTTCCCCAGCTCCTACGCGCCGCTCCGCGAAGTCAGAGGTCGATGGAGGTCGATGTCGTGCCAGGCACGTCGCGGGTCGCAGGTCCGACCCCCAGTCGTATTGGCATCCCCTTCGCAAGAGGGTGATGATTTCGATCGAGAATGAGCGAGATATCCTATAGCTTAGTGAGTCACAAAGGGGAAGGTCCTGTCATCCACCCCCAAATGCTGACGTGGCCTCCAAACCCAGACTGTTCACATAAACATCCAGGCTGGGAAATAGCAGCAAAGTACCTTGCAGGGTTCTATGATGAGCACCTCATTGCGTTCCAACTGCTTCAAACTGCACTTTTGATGTCCAGATTTGATAGTTTTTTTTGTTTGTTTTAAATAATTAGTAGTTTTGAATAGTTTTGATATGTTTTGAAGTGTTTGATGTCCTACCCAAAATTAATCGTTTCCGCCACCGACCTGTGGTTTTCGCTGAGGAAAGAGGTGCACATGAAGTTCGTGCACCCGAAGCCGAGGTCAATGAGCTTCGTGCCGAAGGCGAGTTCGACGCGAGTGACTGGGCGTCGCGAGGTGTGAAGATTGTTGACTCTGCAGTGACAAAGTTTGGTCTGATTTCAAAGGTGCGATCGAAAAGAAAAGGGTTTCCAGTCCTAAAGTGCTTTGATGAAGGAAACATAAGGAAACACATAATTGTTACACACACGAAAACAATGTACTTGGGTTGGTCCATGTGAGTGATCAGAAGAATATAATACAACGGTTTAAGGTTTCGGCGGCCGACCAGGGCTTCGATCAATCTCCACGGATCATCCAAACCAGCTGGATCGTTCCAGGTAGAAATGTCTACAAGAACCGCCCCCTCCCGCGGCTGATGTCTCGAACTGTTTGGACCGCTTGAGGAGCCAGCGAAGCCCTGCAGTGAAGCTTCGAAGGTGAAGCTTCCTGAGATCCTCCGTTGGATCGTGAGCTGAGGACCTGAAGTGGTGGATCCTTTGGGCCGTAGCTGGGCGCGTCTAAGACGACATCATTCAGAGGGGTGAGATGGATTGATCGATTGGTGGGAGGTTCTGACGGTGTTCGGAAATACAGAAGAGAGCGAAGCAATTCCGGTTTGCTATCAACTAAGTTTCAGAATGTTTCAGAATCGGTCAGTTGAAACGAGCATAAACAAGCTGGGGAGAAAGTTTGTGAACGTGTTACTTACTGTGCATAGTCGATGAATAAGTGGTCTTGCAATCTCAAAACGTATGTTTTGCTCTAAAAGCAACATTGCATACTTACCAACAACGATATCGTGACAGGCATAGAAAACAAGTGAACACAATAATAATGCACTCAGCAAATCTGTAATCCTGAAGACCTGCAACCACACCATAAGGTTTGACTGGCTTTTGGCTCCACTTGGGTCACATAGTGGGTCTTCAACGCATGTGTTCAAATGCATTTTGGGAGAGTTCAGAGTCATGTCTCATGTCAATGATGTTCACTCAAACTTCTATTGGAAGGCAAGGCCCTTGATCTATGTTTCAGATCTTGAACGATTCTGTTAACATGGTGAACCAGATGGTTCATAAACCAGTGGGACGTGCCGGGCTTCGTTGTAGACCTCCCCAGGATCCGGATAGACAGACCTCAGGATTCCACTCCCCACTCCCCACGCTTCGCTCCTTGTTCAAGCAGTGAGACCACGCTCGCTCCACTGTGGACCAGTCGGAGACGGTCGGATGTGTAGTGTAAACCTCCGCGACCAAATCGCACAGAAAGCCTTGACAAAGACATGAGAAAGCCATGTGTTCGGTTGGTTTGCACATTGCATGAACAACAGAAAGGCATGACCAGCACTCAAAACATTTAATGAAGCACCGGCCAGTCTGGGGGTTGTTCACTCACCAAAATCACCACAACCATAACCATCCATCACCCGCTCTTACGTGAACTGTTTGTGGAAGTCCTCAATCTCTTTGGCCTCCCACAGTCAGATCGAAGATGCATCCCTGCAGGAGTCCATCGCACGTGGAGAACGTGGGCGGAAATTGGTTGAGAGCCGACCAAGACCCGCGCATGGCATTGGATTCGGGTCGTTGGACCATGACACACGGATGAATACCTCACATCAATGGTAAAGCCGGTACAGCTCTAACCAGCTTTAACCCGTGTCCCTACTAAAAGGATCTAAAAGGAACTATATTCAGTCAGACATGTGACATGGCCGTAGCATGAACAAAATGCTCAATAGTTTTACCTATAAGAAGGTGTACCATATTGAACCATGGTCAACTGTGTTTTCTTTTTTCAGGCAAACTGAAGGTGTCAGAATATATCAGTCACGTAAAGTCCACACGGCCTTGGACGGGAAGGGCCCTGTCTACCAATAATAGCAATGATCAGAGCTTTGCGTATGTCCTTCGTTTCTGAGATGTGAACCAGTTAATGAGTAATCTTGTATTTTCTCAATCATGTGTGGGATGTTATATAACTGTTGGGGGTGATTGGATGCAATGTTGATCTCCCTGTCAAAGAATGAAGCGAACCCTCAAAACTGTTCGCCATGCCACACTGGAATCTTGAGGGTCTGTGGATGGCTCGCAAGATGCACAGAGCCTGCGAAAGCAGGCAATCAAAGTTTGTTCTGCTGCGTTTGGTCCTTGGTCTTGTGATCGGCTGCTTGGTTGATGTTTTGTTTGTTTCTTTAGGCCTGTTGGGCTTGTTGGATGTGTCAATTGTGCTTTGTATTGCTTTGTGTTTGTATCATTGATTTGTATATATATATAAGAAACACAAACAATGTAGACAGGAGGAGAGATTGTTGTGTGCCGAGAATGCTGCAGAGACCCATTTGCATCATGTCTTTATACACGTGATGCATAAGTTTGGAATCGGATTTCGTCGGTTCCATGCACAGTCTTTGAGCCCATGAGAGTACACAGCCTTCGAGGTTGATCTCTTACGGAAATCCAGCATGAGAATTCATGTGTGGGCAGAAGCAAAGCTGACTGACACGGTAGGTTGTTGTAGTTCGGAACTAAAATTGTTGGAACACGTTTTGCTGGAAGCCTTCTTTGTGACTCTCCATCAGTTTCGAGTGTGGACAAGGAACAGTCTCAACAGCTTGCCATGACAGCGCTTTGCGCGCACAGAAACGTCTGTGTGAAGCTGCGTCTTCCGCCGAGTGGCCCAATTTGGTTCAGCAACGAGACCAGGCTTTTGGGCCAATGCACTTCAGTCAGAGACGATACAACCCACTCCATGTGGAGGTGGAAGGGAAACAAACCAGCAAGCTTACAGGAAACAAACAAGCAGTACGGTTCAGTCACACGTCCCATGCTATTATATACTATAAATAATTAATCGATTTGCCTGGCCAGATTCTATAACGGGTGCTTTTCATTTTTGGTGCAAGAAGATGCCATGCACAGGCTTGATGCTCAGAACCCTTAATGTGTATGGAGCAAACCCCAGAAGCCTGTCGTTGTCAAAGTCACAGTGGCCTCCAAGACAAGGGCCGTTGTGGCCATGCATGTGGGACGACTAGCCAGTAACTCTGGTGATTCGCCATGATTGTGTATTCGAGGTAGTTGGAGAGCTGTTTCCTTACGGCAACAGAGTTTACATGTTGTTTTAAATGCTTTGTTTCGAGAACAAAGGCCATGATTGGGTTGGAAAGAAACACATGTTTGTGAGTTGTTGAGTTGATTTGGTCGGCGTTTCCCAGGGTTTCCACTGACCAACGTCCACCATTCCATCTTTCTTTGACACCCGTCACATGCCATGCTTGCTTTCCCGCATGCGGCGGTGATACGAGTCCTGTGGGATCCGGCGCACCGAAAAGTCATTCGTTTCAATAGGACATCGCCAGCGAGAGAAGCATCCAGCACCTGCCAGCCGTCCTTCGCCCTGATGGACAGATAATGATGTACATATGATTTACAGTCACGAGTGGTTCGCCAGTGGTGCGCCTGGCACAAGCAGCCTTCGCCATCTGGTGGACCCGGAATGACCTGGATCTCAAGGAGAACAACTTTTTTTTCTGGTGAGCGAAGAACCTTACATCGCCAGATGTCCAAGTCACATCTTTGGCGGCTCTCCGGGAAGGCAACGGAAGAAATAAAGCGAAGGCAGACAGATTTTGATGATAGATCAGCTGAAGATCAGTTGAATTCGGCCAAGATTTGTGAATTTACTTTCTGCCTATCATTCATTGCATCATGCGGGGGGACATGAGCGAACTGGATTTGTCACTCCAGGACTCCTCATTGTGTTTTCACGTTTTGATTTTGGGGGAGTGGTGAAGTGTGCAACGATTGAGTAGCACATGATTGACTTGCGGAGTACTTGCCTTGCTGATCAAGTAGAGAGCAATTGACCAGTGCACACCACTGCTGCTTTTCATGAAACACAGACAACAAGTCATCCTTTGTTGGTATGGTGCATCATATTTTGCCTGAGTGGTGATGCGCAAGCGGACAATGATTGCACCGACAACCTAGTGATGTTTTTATTGTTTTTGTGATCCACTGGACTCGGAGGTCTATAGAGGTCATAGCGCCATCCTTCACTTCGTGTGTGTTCTATAGAGGTGAACACCACGGGCTCAGACGCCGGGCTCAGACGCCGAGGTCAGCTGGTGGATGTTTCTCCTCCGGATCCGGTCGATCCCACCGTCCTTCCCAGGGACTCCACGGTCCCAGGTCCTACCTGATGGAAAGACGGTGGAACAGGCAGTGCCCCTGGGTGTGAGTCTCAAGAGCTGAGCATGTGATCGGTGTTCAAATGAAAACTCATAGAATATGTTGCTCGTCGAACTGAGCTTGTGTCATGAGTGATCATGAGTCCTTTACCACGTGCTCATTCGCAGAGTCAGGTGAGATGTGAGATGTATATGCCCTGGCTATGGGGAAGGTTTGATTGAGATCTCATCATTCTTTCCAGAGGATCTACTGCCATCCCCGGACCAAAATCACCACAGAGAAGTTCATTCCGCCAGACCACGCTCGCTTTTTAACGTTTTGTTCGACACCACCGGTGTTCTCCATGAGTCGAAGATCCCACGGTTATCCCTGTCGACTCGTCAGCACCGACAGTCGGTGCATTGTTCGACTCAAAATCGAAAGGCGCTGAAGGACTTGGACACCTCGGGAGATGGTGTGGTGTCTTTCGACGAATTTAAGGCACCCCCTCCCAGGGCGGAGGGCGAAGGCGAGAAGAAACCGAGAAGACCCCGCCAGTCGGTGGCCCTTTTTGCGGGTCTTGTGTGTTTTGCGTGGCCGGTGTGTACGTGGAACAAGACTCAACTGAAAGAAACAACTAGTGGCACCCAAAGGTTTGTTGTTGGATGGTTGCGACCTGAAGAAGCTTCATCCGAGGAGAACTGCACCCTAGAAGATGCAGAGTAGATTCTGATGAGTGATCTACTAGTATAACATATCGCAAGTTCTAGTATTGATCTTTGGAGTAGTCAGCTGAGCAACCAACATTGAAGCAAAGCTTTCCGCATCTATCATCACCGTGGCTGGCCGTACTAGCTACCATGATGAGAACCAAAGCACGGCCCAAGAACCATGGATTCCTACTACGAACCTGTCCACTGGCTGGTATTTGAAGTTGCTGTTGATGAAATAGGCCGAGTAGGCCTTGTGGCCCTATATCAATTGGCGATATCAGGCCTGTGCTTGACAAGGGCGTCAAATCAGGTTCACAACCACCTACAAACGGAGTGGATGAGATTCATGACCCCTGGGGAGTGACATTCTTTGGAAGACATGAAACGACCATGTTTGTTTAGCATGTCTTAGCCCCCCGGGGAGAGTAGGGCCAGCTGACAAAGAGATCACCTAGTTTGGTGGGTTTGCCCACGGCCACCAGGCCTACCTGGCACGAGATGCACACCCAGAAGAAGCCGTGGAGGCTGGATCCAGTGTGCGGACACATCCGGTGGTTCTGGATGGGAGGCTGGAAAAACCATTCGGTTGGGGTGGATGCAAGAAGCTGTTCATCGCATGTGTATATAAAACTTAACAGTTACAGATGTTTGGGCCTGTTTGTTTCTTCGTTGAGTCCCAGTACTCCTGTTGCTTCGGCCGAAAACCACCAAAAAACAACACATCCTTCCCGACATTCGGATGGTCCGTGGCCGCATCCAAGTTTCTTGCAGTGCGCTATCGCACATCAAGGTTGGATTCTGCCTGCGAAACTCTTGGTCATGTGAACAAATTCAGACATGGTAGGTTGCTATGGCGGATGTCATTGACATGCGAAGAACGTTGGCGCCTCCTTTTTCTATGTACTTGTATGTTCCTACTTCTTTCGACACAGTTCCACTTGCAATGGCATACACGCAACCTCCATGTGATCCACTGTTCGTAATATTATCCTCTGGTCCATATTCTGAAGTCTGTAGTTTTGAGACATTTTACGACCTTCCTTACCTTCCAGAGTTCTTCTCACACGACAAATCACCCTTTCATGAGACACTGCATCGAAGTCCTTTCTGCGTGCGCAAGTTGCACAAAAAAAAGAGAGCTCGACGTTATGCGGGTGTGGTTTTTACGCATTTTAGTTGTGCTTTTCTTAGATTTTGTCATGTTTTGAAAGAGTTTCCGCGGTTGCGGTCTAGATATGTTCTTGTGCTCCTGTTTCCCAAACAAACCAACTTTTATTTTTTTAAAACAACCTCTGGATCCGACTCTACCCTGCCTTGCCCATAAGCATTTTCATTGTTGCAAAGGTAGTGAAATGGAGAGAAGATCATTATCTTGAAACACAATGTGCCCACCAGGCCCAACAAAAGTTGAGAAACTTGCTTAGTAATACTGGACCTGGATGACTGATTGGAATTGGGCTTTGCATGGCCTTCTTGACGCCCATACCCATAATAAGCTTCATCCTCATTCTCAGGGTCATAGGGAACCATTCTGCGAGCATTGGGAGTTCACATCCTACTTTTTGGGCTTCTCCCTCCACATTCTTTATGAAATGGGCTTCTCCCTCCACATTCTTTATGAAATGGAGAGAAGATCATTATCTTGAAAAACAATGTGCCCACCAGGCCCAACAAAAGTTGAGAAACTTGCTTAGTCATACTGGACCTGGATGACTGATTGGAATTGGGCTTTGCATGGCCTTCTTGACGCCCATACCCATAATAAGCCTCATCCTCATTCTCAGGGCCATAGGGAACCATTCTGCAAGCATTGGGAGTTCACATCCTATCCCACAAGTTCGATTAGACCAATCCTGCTCATCTCCATGGTTCTCACCCAATGGCTCTTCAGGTCTATATTCCATATCCCCCCATCTACGACGAAATCTTCCAAAGAACCTTATGAAACCCATGGAACGATCCAGCCATAGATACACTAAGGGTCTGAATTGGCTGTGTGGCGACTATTCATTCCCAAGCTCATGAAGAACCTTCTCTTCACCCCAACCTTCTTGCCTACACATAGACATACATGAAATCAGGTTGTCTCAAACCTGGCATGCTCAGCATGCTCCCAATGTTCACCCAACATTGCCAAGGACATTCTTTCTCGTGATGCCGCCCAAGCTAAAACCTCATTGGACCTCACCAACACCCACCCAAAAGTAAACCAAAAAATTGTGCCAAAAATATGCTCTACCAATAGCATGAATCATGAGGATCAACCAATGTTGTACCCAATGTTGTAGCTCGTGGGATTGGGCAATCAATTCTTTTTCGCCCCCCCCCAGAGAAGCCCAGGCCCAGGCCCCAGTTGCTGGAGATTGAGAACTCATTGAGATTGGAGGTCTTGGAGACCAGATCTCCCTCATAGAGGTGATGACCTGATGATGTATGATGGGATGTCCTGAACTTGCTGATAGATGACGGTTGATGGACTTCTGTGTGGGAATCATGAGAACTAGTATGTTTGGATAAGATAGATGAGAAATTTGACAGATTACAAGTCAACATTTTTGCTAGACATGTTCTTCAAAACATTTAACATTTTCAAAATACACAGAAAACCACAAATCACAAAAACGCGTAAAAAACACACCCGTATAACGTCGTTTTCTGAAAAAAATGTCTCGTTGACTGGGGTTCCATCCAGGTGGTTTGTCGTTATCGCAGACCTAGTGAGCAAAGCTGACCATATAGAAGATCCTTTGGGCAGAAATTCTTGCCTTTTTCGGGAAGAGCGGCTCTTCCCGTCCTGGGGCGGAAATCAGCTGTTTGGCGCGGAAATGTTTTTGTTGCCGCGAATATTCCCTTTCAGGAATCCAGTGAGACAAAGACTACATATTCTAGAGGAGTTGAATATTTTTGTGGTTTACATTGGGCATTTCTGCCTGGAACGGTCACCGCAATGAGAAAAAACAATCTGCAGCGCTTAAGTTTCCACCTCCACCTGCAAATCTGGCTACCATCATATCATATATTATGTGTCTTTGTTTTGAAGATTTCTTGTGCGGAATGATCACAAAAGGACTAAAATCAGTCCAAAGTTGAAAACACCTGTCGCGAAAATGCCCGGGAAAAAGGCAGAAATACCCGGGAAAGAGGCGGAAATACCTGGGAAAACGGCGGAAATACCCGGGAAACCGGCGGAAATTTCCTGGTAGAAGGCGGGATTCAAGAACAGTGCCTTTGATGCCTTTGAAGGGCTTGAACATATGTCGCAGCCTTTTTGTGAATGTCATGAATTTAGAAGCTGTCAAAATCGTAGGGTGTCAGATCTTGAGATGTGAAGCTTTGCAGAACGATATGTGGTCTGCAATCATGGAAGAGACAACCTGGTAGGTTGTAATGGTTTTTGAGTTGCTATGTTGGATTTTGCTAGAGGCAAAAATTCCCTGCTGCCCGCGGAAATTCCTACCTGGCGCGGATTTCCCCTAAATCCGCGATTCCTCCCGGGCAAATCGGACTGAGGCAGAAATTTCTGCCCCAGGTGCTTCTAGGTATATACAGTATTACATATATATATATTATAGGCATTACCAGTAACAGTCGGCAACAAACATAGCCATCATCATCCACTTTTGCTGGCAATGGGATATACCCTAGATATCCCAATATATATATATATATATCAAACAAACAACCGTTCGTCCATTCCTCAGCCAGGTGCCGCAGCCCTGGCTGTTGGAGAAGTCTCCCACTCCGGCAGATTCATTGATCGTCGACCTAGAGGTACGGACCAGTAGCGGAGAGTATGTTCAGCATGCAAAAGACAAGCCAATGTGAGAGGAGCAAGAGGTTGGAGGTTTGCAAGTGTATGGAGCCATTCTCTAGAGGTTTCTTGTGTACTGTACTTTGGCAGGCAGAGAGAGAGAGAGGGAGAGACATGCATCAGAAGAAACAAATAAAGTAGATCCTTTGCATTCATTTGTAGACCATGAAGTCTGTATTGTATGTCCGATATGTTAGCAAATTGAAACACTATCCAAGTGTATAGATTCACTATCCTATTGTTGGGTCTAACTATAGATCTCCTCTTTTTGCCGCTCCGCGAGTTCGCATAACATATCTGCCAGGCCGTGCCGGAGTCCGAAAGCTTGGAATCGGCCGCTCGGTACGGAGTGAAGCGGAGAAACCCGGAGGAATTTCGAGAGCGGAAAAAAAGAACAAACTGAAGTCTGTAGTCCCTTGGATGGGTGTTCGTTTGGATTGTACCGAGCTGCTTCTTTTTGGAGGCCGTTCCTTTTTGTTGGATTCGCATGGAGTGAGTCACGGTCAGCGGATCCACCAGTGAAACGGTGTGAACACGGTTTTCGAAACGTGTGGGCGAGGGTAATGAGACACACGCAAAAAAACATGGTATATCATAACACATGTTTACACCTTTAGCCCCGACGCTTTTGACGCCAACCCCATGTTTCAGCTTTCCTCCACTCACAGAATTTGCAAACTCCTCAGTGTGTGTGTGTCCACCCCTGGACGAAGGGTTTCTTCCAACCGATTCACCTACCACTTGTTTCACCACCGATTCTCAAGCAGGGGAGTGGTGCGCGGTCTTGGAGTCACCACTCAACGAAGACACTCCTTGAACCGCGGTGATATCCGGAAGGGACGCCTTCTGGACGTACCTGCGCTGAACACACTGACTCCACTGGTTCCCCTCGCCGCTGTTCTTTGTTTTCATGGTTGTTCCCATGCTACTTTCCCCATAAACAGGTTTCCCACCGCACTGCAGCTGCTGAACGCCGCTTCCACTTGCACGCTTTCGGAAACATTGTTCAACAATACTTTTCTGCGGACTCATGCACCTTTCCGTTCCTTCACCTTCCTTCTCAACGTGGGAACTGAGTCACTGAAAACCAATGTCAGAGTGTGTTTCGCTCAGCCGTCCCACTCGGGTGCTGAGTGTGATCCCCGTCACAGGGGCGCCGTTTCTGCATAGGAAATCATCCACCCCAACTTGCCACCTTTCACCGGATTTCCACTGGAAGTCATTGACACATCCATCGAATCAACTGATGCATTGGCCGCCGGGCCCAAACACGGCAGCTTTTCCTTCACTGACTGACTTTCTGACCAGTCTTGCAAGGGTTTTTGCATGATCTTACATGTAGTGACTTTTTGACCTGTGCCGTGATTTTTCCGCCAGAAGAACTCAAGCCCGCTTATCGGAGTTCTCAAATCTAATTCGAGATGCATGACCACACCCTACAACAACAATTTTACCTGTCACATCAAGGACACAACCACCACGCCTTCCACCGGTTTTTGAAAAAGCGCCGGAGCCGGCGACTTGTGTGTGTCCACCCCTGGACGAATCTTCCAACCGATTCACCTACCACTTGTTTCACCACCGATTCTCAAG